CCCCCACCCTCCCCCCAGCTGGTCGACCGCGCCAACGACTGGGCGCGCCACCTGGGCTGCAAGGGCAACGTCCACTTTATCTTCACCAACGCGACCATCTCCCTGCGCGCCATGATGGAAGGCTACCCGGGGCCAGTGGAGGTGCGCCCCCACTGGCAGGGCCGCTTTTTTGGGCGACAATGGGGGGGGGGGCCGCCAATGGGTAGGTCGGCCGCTGCGTGCAAGTTTTTCTGAATGCATCATGATTCGCGGGAGCCAGCAACAAGGGTGCCGCCAAAACTCAAGCCACCAGCACTCAGCAACAAGGGAGCCACCAACACTCAGCAAACCGCCCCACCCCGCCCAGGCCTTCTACGTGCAGTTCCCTGACCCCCACTTCAAGCGGAAGCACCGCAAGCGCCGCCTGCTGCAGCCAGACACCGTCCACGCCATCCGCGACGCGCTGCGGCCAGGGGGTGCGCGCGCCGCGGGGCCGGCGCGGGCTGCGGGGGCGGGCTGTGGCAGCGGGCCCCAGCCGTCGGCTTGCGGGACAGTGCCAAGGGGTGCTGCTGTGCAAGGCTCGAGCCTGGTTCAACGGCGCACCATGTATGCAGCTGCACAGCAGAATTGCGCCTGGCAAACGCACCGGCAACACCCACTTCTGGAAGCGGTGGCGGTCACAATCCTCTCCCCTTCCGACCGCCACGCATTCACCCCAACGCCCCCAGGCGTGGTATTTTTGCAGTCAGACATCCTGCGCGCCGCGGAGGGCCTGCGTGACGCGATAGAGGAGGTGGCCCCCGACGCCTTCGAGCTCTCGCCGCTCCACTCCGACCCATCCAGCGTGTTTTTCGCGAAGAGCAGCGGCGGCGGTGGCGAGCCGGTGGCCATTGGGTCGGACGGCGTGGCCGAGGGCCAGGCGGGCCAGCAGGGCGGCGGCGCCGGCGAGGCGGACGGTTCGGAGGCGGAGGGCGGCGCGGCGGACGGGGAGTGGTCGCCAGACGGGTGGGGCGGGTCCGACAGCGACGACAGCAGCTTCGAGCCGCTGTTCGAGTCGCGGTGGGCGCGCGCGGGGTGGCTGCGGGACAACCCTGTGGGGGTGCCGACGGAGCGCGAGCACTACGTTGCCGTGACTCAGGGCTCGGACATATATCGCGTGGTGCTTGTCAGGCGGTGATGTTTATGCTGACAGCCCCGGGCTCACGGAAAGGAGCATCCCGCCGCAGGCTTGAGCGCGTCGCTTGTAACGGCGTGCTAACAGGAGGGGACGAGGGCGACACGTGTGTTTGCCGACAGCGTCACACGTTTGCCGCTGTCAGCGACTGCCAAAGTTGTGTGTGGTTCCAGTGAGCCCATGACATGTTTGTTGTGTTGCTCAACGTCCCCTAGTCGACGCAAGCAGCATTGCATCTCAAAAGTGTCATCTGGCCCTTGAGAGCTGGTGCGAACTTCACCCCTGTAGCCGTTGTGTGCAATTGCATAGCTTGTGGTTATACTGAGGCAGGACGGTTGCAGTACCTCAGCCCTTTCCACACGCAGTCACTACCATTGGTGGCTGAGTCAGGCAGGACCCTTGCAGAACCACAGCCCTTTACACACGCAGTCACTACCATTAGTAGCTGCGGCTGTGGTGTCCATGGCAAGCTCTCCTGCAAGGCCATGCCTGTGCCAAGCATGGGAAAGTGCGCGCCGAAGACCATGCAGTTGTGGGTGCTGACAGTCCAGAAAGAAATGCTGCTGCAACCGTAAATCAAACGGGGAAGCAGGTATGTACTGTATGCCGGCTGGTTTCGCATGGTTTTCACATCAGCACAAACCAGATGCATGATATTGCATGTACACGTCAATGCGTAGCTGCCCCATGGCCGTAGCAGGAGCCGCCGCGACACAGCTCCTGCCGGCTCGCCCTGACGCCAAGCCCCTCCCCTCCGCGGTGCGCACGCGCGGCAGCACGTCGCCACGCCGCGGGCGCTGCTGCGTTGCGCCCGCTGGCGCGGCGCGCCCGTGGCTAGCTGGCGTGCAGCAGCGCTGGCAGGGCTGGCAGGAGCTTGGCGATGGCCGGGTACGACTCAGCGAGAGACGCGGCCAAGAAGAGCAGCCCGCGGTAGGATATGTACAAAGTGCCTGCGTGAGTGCGATGGTGTTGTTGATGCGGGTGCGCGAGCGCAGGTTTGTTGGCAGGAGTGCACCATGCAAGAGCATGCGAAGCCGGCGGATGCCCACCTCCCGCCTGAGGTGAAAGTACAGCTATCTAGCCGGTAGGATAGGCCACGCGTGGACATCGGAGGTCAGCGAGAGCGACGACCTGGGTGCTCACCGAAGGGCAGGCTGAGGAGCACCCCCACCAGCAGGATGAGCAGCGCGGTGGCCAGGAATGTGTCGACCGTGTCAGACAGCAGGCGGCGCCCGCGCGGAAGCAGCGCGAGGGCGAACAGCGCCGTGGCGCAGCCGCCGGTGATCAGGACCTGCTGCGGCACGTCTGACAGCTCTGGGACGCGACCCGTCACTGCGGCGGACTGTGCCAGCTGCGCAAACGCACGCAGCTCTGCTGCGCGCGCCTCCAGCAGTGCCGCTGCCATCGCAGCCCCCTCTGCTGCGCCGGTGCTGGAGCTACAATTGAATATTTATCTGCGCAAAATTATTACAAAGCACTGTATTAGGGCGCCACGCAGATCCGAGCCAAGCCGCGGAAACAAGTTTCAAGAGCAGGTGCGGCGATCAGAGCCATGTGACGATGAGGATGGAGATGTGTCAACTGCATCTGCGCCCGGCAATCGTAGCTGTGCGAAGCCTGTCACTAGTTGACAGCGCCGGCGTCACTGCAGCGTGCGATCGCCCACTCGCACTGAGATGAGACGGAGCGGTCCACTTGGTGGTGTTCCTGGCCTTGGCTGCCAGTATCTCCAAGATTGCCGGCTGGCAATCACATCTAGTTTACGTTGCGTGTCCTCAACTCCGACGTGACGGCGAACGCGCCGCTCCGCAGGCACGTTATTTGCCATGATGGCACACACCGCCTGTTGGCCCCTCGACGCGCACACCCTGCAGCACCGCCCCAAGCGGCACAAAACCCTCACAAGTCATGACACGGCAGCAATATGAGGCCCACCGTTGGCCCGGGGATGGTGCGGGCGGCGGTCTGCAGCACCAAGATGATCTCCCCAGCAATCCAGTTCGTCCAGCTCGCTCCTTCGCTGGTCGAAAGTACGCGAGGCAATCCCTTACAAGGCAGCTAACTTGCAGCCTATGGTCAAAATCGTTTGCGCCGCCACACAAGCGTAGCCAGGAGGAAAGTAGGGGCGTGCTAGGGGAAGGACCAGAGTGCTCTGTCATGGCCTGATCCGTTGACCAGGCCGGGAGCACGCAGCATGGATGTGGTGTGGATGGCAGCAAACACATTGCTTGGTTCCACTGCACAAAGCCAGACATCAGATGGCACGATCCACTTCCACTGATTCACCCAAAGCTCGGCAGACAACATGCACCACCTTCAATACACTTTTTTGTCATTTGGAGAGTGAGAGGTCGGACGACGGCACAGCTCAGGCGACACCGTGCGGTCACCCCATCGGAGTTGGCAGCCAAACAGATTGCATGAGGGTTGACGACCCGACACGGCTCAGACCGCCACCGGCGGGCACGGCAGCAAGCAAGGGAGCCACCAACACGCAGCAAAGCTTGGGAATTCTTGCGGGGCCAGCGGGTGTACTGCTTGCCTCACGGCGCTTGGTCAAAACTGCGGTGCAGGAGTGATGCATTGCAGATTAAGCAGGCAAGGAGGTGCATTGCACGGATGGGGCACTGCCTAGGGCTAGACATGCATTGAGGTCAGGCGGGGTTCCACAGGAGTGCAGAGGGATGTGAGCGCGCATGCGTGTGCGCACGAACGAACGAACGCATGAACGCTCGCCTGTGCTTGTGCGTGCATGCGTGCATGCGTGTGTGGGTGCGTGTGCGCGTGCGTGTACGTGCGTACGAGCGTGCGCAGATGCATGTCCAAGCAGTGCCGCATCATCACCCCCTCCCACGCTGCATGTGGGCGGCTGCGGTGCTTGGTGATGCATCTATGCTTCAAGCACTGGTGCACACAGCGGTTTACCCACGAATCAATGAGCTCCTGCACTAGCCGTAGCTTCCCCATCTGCACCTCCCCTGACAAACACCCATTCATCTGCACACAGACAACCATGTCCGGCGGCCCGTGTCCCCCCACCTTGATGTTTTCCTGCTCTATCAGCTGCCGCACCCTGTCCTTGAGCCGCCAGTCCAGCGTCAGGCCGCGCTCCGGGCGGCCCTGGGTGGGTGGCGGGTCCAAAGGCAAGGGGCGAAGGCGGCCATTATTTGTGGGCTGTCGGTTGTCAATACGAAGCACTCAACCTTATCAAATGGCATGGCATGATGAAGCCACCGAATCGACGCGGCGTGAGTGTGGGGGCCGCATCAATCGCTCGACCCACCTCCCGTGCATCCACCGCACCAACCCCTCCAGCCCCCCGAAACGCCTTGGGAGCTGCACCCAACAGCACCGCTGTCCCCAGCCCCTGCCACCTTGGCTGACGCGTGTGAATTGTGCCCCATCCCCCCAGGCTGACCTGGATGATTGTGAGGCAGAGGTTTCTGAACTTGTCCTTGCACTGCATGTTGTTCTTGCCGGCCAGCCGCACATCCTGCGAGGGCAAGCGTTGCGCGCGCACCGCATCGCCCATACATCGCAGTGCACAGTACGGCTTGCATGCTTTTCCGTGTTGTTTTGCAACGCCGCTTGACCGCATCCTCTCTTCGTGCGGCGAGAGAGGCGCTGCCACCCAGCGGCGACCAACAACAAAACATAAGCCCCTCCGACGTGCGCCGCGGCTCCGGGTCCATTCACGGGCGGAAGCTGAGCAGAAACCGCTCCCGTATACCTGTCAAAAAACCAAAGCAACCGCGCCCTTGCCGCGGCTGCCCACGCCCCACGCCCACGCGCCGCCAGGCCGTCACCCAGCGGCCAGCCCCGCTTCCCCGCCCCACCTGCACGATCGTGCGCCAGGCGCTGAGGCCGTGCCGCTCGACGCCCTCAATCAGAGCCTCGATCTGCTCCTGCGTCCACCGCGTCTTGCGGCCCGGCTGCCGCCCCTGCATGTGCTGCGGGGGGCGGCAGCGGCGACGGCGGGGCGGCAGCGCAGCGCGGCGGTATTGACAGTTACGTGATGGCGGGGGCGGAGGGGCCGCAGTTCCGGCGCTGCGAAACGCCGCCTTGCGCCGGCGGTAGGGGGACACGACAAATCATGTGCAAGTGCACGTGGGCGTGAGGGCACATGAGCACGTGGGCGCGGGGGCGCGGGCGCGCATGGGCGCGGGGGCACGTGGGCACGTGGCCGTGTGGGCGCGTGGGCAACGGGGCGCAAGGCCGCAAGTGCGCGGGCGGGGTGGGGCCGGAGCAGCGCACCTGCACGAGGGTGCCTGCGCTGTAGGCTGATGACACTATGGCCTCATCCACGAGGGGCAGGGTGTCCAGGTCATCGGGGAACTGGAGATGGAAGTTGCAGGGGCGGTTTGCGATTTGATTCTGCCTGCCGGCCCCAGCAGGCAGGTCGGCGGACGCGGGACAGAACTCACAGTTGGATATCAGGGCGGCTGGGGACAAGGCCGGCAAGCCCTGGCACTGGGCAGCCGATGTCTGCGGGCTGCACAGCCGCACAGCTCCAGGGGGATTTCGCAGCCCCGCGCTCCCAGCCAAGGCAACCCGTCGTCCCACGCCCGCCCTCAGGCACAGGCGCAAGGCCCCCCTGAATAGAGCGCCGGTCGCCCCTCTGGGAATCCCTCTGTCAGCCCGAGCGTGGGCGGGCACGCGCGCGCACCACGATGCGCAGCGTGATCTTGGAGCCGTTTGTGACGCCGCACGCGCTGATGGGCACGGGGTTGCCCTCCTCATCCATGTCCAGCATCTCACAGCCGTCCTCGGTGATGAGCATCTGGGGGCGGCGGGGCCAACCATCAAGGGAGGGGCATCGGTGGGGGCAGGGTGAGCGGGTGCGGGGAGAAGGTGCGGGCAGTGGGTGCTGCTTGTATGTGCACAGGGGAAAGGGGATCTAGCCGGAAGTGCCTCACCCCTGGAGCAGTCATGGACCGGGTGCCAAGGGTCTTCACAGCCCGTTACCCTTGCCTGAAAAGTCCGGCCCATGCGGCCCCTCACACGCCCCCTTCCCCCCGCTCCCACGCTCAAGCTAAACCGAGCACAGGAGGCGGGCGCTCCGCCACACACATGCGCGCGCGCGCGCCGCTGGGCACCTGCAGGCCGGGCAGCAGCTTGTTGTGGGCGTTGTACATGAACAGCCGCTTTAGCTGCGCCACGTCGCTGCTCTGCGGAGCCTCGATTATGCCAGACCTGCGCGGCAACAGGGGGTGGACAAAGGGCGCAACAACCGGCGGCGGCAGGGGGGTTGCGGGTGCCGAGCCGCCCCTACGCGGCTTTGCTTTTGGGAGCCGGGGCTCGGTGCACCCAGACTGCGCCAGTCAGGCCGGGATGACCGCTCGCAGCCGCGCCCTGCGGCTGTCACTACGGAGCGAAACGCACAAAACGACGCAGGTGCAAAGCAAACGGCGACCCCTTGTCCCCCCCCCCCGGGTGCCCTTCCATAAACAGGGTTTGATTTGAACAAAGTTCCCACCTGTCCCCCAGGTCGAGGTCCTCCAGCTCAGGCGGCAGCTCCAGCGTGAAGTTCACGGTGATGAGGGTGCCCGCACGCTTGGCAGACTGCGCAGGCAGCAGGCGGTCCGCGCAAGCGGGCGCGAGTAAAGGGGCGTGACAGCTTGCGATGTTGGGGCGCAGGCGCCAGCAGGCCGCGCCCGCCACCGCGCCAGCGCGGCTGAGGGGTTGCGACGCAGCAAGCTGCCGCAAGTGTCATTCGATCCCTCGGCGAAATTTCATTGGCTTCTGCTGCGGCCTGGCGCCCCCCCGGCCGCTGCGGCCGCGACGCTTTTAGCTCGCCGCACACGCGCATGTGCGCCGCCAGCCGCCCCCGCCCCCGCGGCCGCACCTGCAGCGCCTGCGTGTCGCCCCGCCGGATGCCCTCCATCTGCGCGCGCTCGTGCGCCGCCAGCTGCTGCTGCAGGGGCGCGACGAGGTCGGACCCGTCCACCGCGTACACGCCCGTGGCCGCCAGCTGCGCCAGGTGCTGCTGCAGCTCCTCCTCCCCCACGACCTGCCGAGTCAAAGGCCGGATGCGCGATTGGCAGGAGTGTGTCGGTCGCGCGTGTTTCGAAACGCCGGGAAGTGGAGCGTTGTGAGGTGGGGCCACCCCAGCGGCACGCGGAACAGAGCGGAGTGGGCCTGCCCCGCGGAGCAGGGACGAGCGCAGAAGGGTGCCGCTGCCGCCGCCCTCGGTCCCAGCCCAAGCAAGGCGGGAGGGCGCCCTGAGGCGTCGCACGGCCCGACCTGGATGTGTTGCCCGTCCGGCCCGATGAAGCTGTCGCAGCCAAGGGTGCCTGCAGGCGGCGCGCAGGCAGCGCAACGTGTTGGATGGCGCCTGCGAGGGCGCCGCTCGACTCGGGACCGGAGAATTCCACTGCGACAACAGGCAGCCGTCTCGCTGCCCTCCGTCCCGCCAGAGGCTGCACGCGCGCTGCAATTGTGGAGGCGAAGGCGGCCCAAAGCAAAGGCGCAGCTGCCGTGCGCTGCGGTCGCACAGCCGCTCACCGGTCGCCACTATCGCGGAGAGCACCCCAGGGTCAATGGCGATGGCTGCGCCATTGGTATCGTGCATGTCCACAACCGACGCGGCCGCAAGCACGCTTGGGTCAAGCACCTGCTGTTCGGGATCCGCCAGCGGAAGGCCCGCCATTGTGACGGCTACCAAGGGCGGCGCCGCGCCGGGCGCCAGGGCGCTGGCCGCGTGCTGCTGCTGCTGTTGCTGCTGCTGTGGCTGCTGCTGCTGCCGCCGGCCGCCGCCGCCGCCGCCGAGCTCGAAATCCGGGCTGTTGAGGTCGGGCACGGGTGTGTGTGCAGGCGTGAGAGCTTGTCGATGGCAAGCTACAAGGTTTGCAATAATATGCTGCAGTTCTGGGAATATGGATCTGCAGTGTTGGCGAGTTTGACCAGCTCACCACTCTGGTGATGCTATGATGCTGCTGCCCTCCCCCGCAAAAGCAACAGAGCCAAACGGCCGCGCGCCGATGCCCCCAGGACGCGCCCTCAGGTGTCTCACTCGTCGTCCTCCCGCAACCGCTTGCCCTTGCCGGGCTCTCCCTGCCGCCGCCCTTTGTCTCGCATGCGTCCACGGCTGCCGCGCCTTCCGAGGGGCCGTGCGCTATGGTAGAAGGGTTTGTGACGATGTGCGCCTGCAGTACCGGCGCAGGGCGAGCGTGCAGAAGAGGTCGCGCGCGGCGCCCCTCAGCTGCTGCTCCCAGGACTTCAAGAGCCACATCTGTCAAAGATAGACCCGGCGGCCTCGGCTGATGCTGCCGCGCGTCCATGGCATCTGAAAGCAGCAGCAGCGCGCCGCTGCGCAAGTTCAAGCAGAGATTGGCACGGCACAGCTTGTGCAGAGCCCAGGGTCCAGCCTTGAACGCACCAATAATGCTGATGCTTGCCAACAATCCTTTTATGACGCGCTGCACCTATAGGAGCACCTCGACGCGAGCAAGCAGTCCAACCAATGATGTAAGCGATGCCCCTCCTCCAGCACTACATACAAACTATATTATTGTCCCCGAAGACCTCAACCAGCGAGCGGAGGCCTAGCAGGCCTGTGATTCGGATGGTGAGTTCGCCTCGGTGTCAAAGTGAGGGCAGCGCGAGATCCAAGTGACAGAGCAAACATGAATGCTTTGAGAGCGACTCTGAAGGCCCTACCTATTGTGGCGGTGGACGGAGGCGAGCGATCGTCTGTCTAGGAGTGAGCATGAGCGGGATTCGGAAATAGTTGCAAAATGTGAGCCATGCTCACCTTGTACTTTTGCTAGCCTCGGTATCCTGTAGTCACCCGGCGCTCTCGGTCAATCCCGCATCGACAAGGGCATGCCAGTTTTATCGAGAAGGGATGACGGGCCCTGCGGTGCTAGCCGACAGCTTCTTCAAGGTGAGGATCATGCATAAATAGCGCGTTAGTGGAGCTGGGCTCCACATGTCACCGCGAGCACGAGCCTGCGTCATCGATGAAGCCTGGCATGTGCTTGCTGCAGCTGCTCCGTGTTATCGCCGCTCCGCTGGCCCAGCCCTGGCCACGTTGCAGGCAGCACAATAAAAGTGCAGCATGCCAGCTTCAGGCGATCGCAAATCAACTCTGATGTGCAAACGCACGTTGCTGCCGCCCGGCCTGGGCCGGCAGGCGGACCTCCGGCCGTCGTCGCCCAAGCCGTTCAGGCCACCCGGGATCCCAAGCGCGAGCCCACGCTTCCGGTCCGCCGCCGCTGCAAAGGTGAGCTGCATCACATCCGGCTTTGCACCGCGGCAGGCTTACCGCGTGTGCGAAGGCTCGTCGGTGACTATGTAATAAACTGCACTGGGTGAAGCTTAGTACTGGGCACCTGCCTGTGATGTCGTACACCACACCACCCACAGGCCCTCTTAGAGCGGTTGAAGGCACTCGCGACCGAATGCCGCTCGACCAACAGCAGCGGCCGCCCCGTCGCTGCCAGCGGCCGCGCGCGGCGCCCAGGCGGCCTGTCGGCGCACAGCGAGCAGCCGCCGGCGGCGGCGCAGCCTGGCGGGCCTGCGCGGGTTACGAGCGGCACACGAGGCCAGGCAGCGGCGCCGGCTGCTGCCGCAGGCAGCGGGGCGGGAGGTGTGGTGGCGCCTAGTGCACAAATCACGGCCAAAAGGATACTGGATGAGCTGGATGTTGCGTTTGGGTGGGTGCTGCAATCCGTAGAGGCGTGAGGACTGTAGGCCAGGCAATGACTGGCGACGCGTGCTGCCCGGGCAAAGTATCTTGCCCTTGAGGGGGGTCAGGGGTCAAACCTCAGCCCTCACACGCATTCAGCAGGCGCATGCACAGGAGCACAAGTATGGAAGCCGCTGCATCCGAAAGACCAGCAACACACGAGGCCAGTCTTGTTCCATTTTCATCACAGCAACTTTTTTTATCACATCTAACCGCAACAACCCTGTTGCCTTCTGGCTGAATGCAGGCCGGTCAGCACGTTCCTGCGGCAGCTGGCGCCAGAGGCGGTACTGGGCCTCTTTGTCGCCTCCAGATCTGAGCGGTGGAAGAAAGACCAGGTGGATGTTCAGACACAGGGGACGCTCATGGGATGAGTAGAGAGCATCCGGTAGTTTTGTGCTGAGTCAGCGGCCTCAGTGGCCGACAGGTGTGGCAGCGCTGTGCAGCAAGCGCGCATCAACAGCGAGGAAGGCAGGGTCTGGGCGCGCCAAGGCATGGCAGCTGCGAGGGCGCCTGTTCGGTGTGGGCGTGCGCATGCCTGAAGGACGTAGGCCCACGGTGCTGCGCAGCGCTGCGCTAATTATTGCTGTTCTGTTCACCCTCTGCGCGTGATCGTTGCCCCAATCCCCTGGGCCTGGCAGGTCATCTACGAGGCGGGGGCAACGGCAGACTGCTTCTACGTTTTGCTCACCGGCGCGGTCGAGATCTTTACACACGGCGGGGGCGCCGGCAGGCAAGGGGGGCAAGGAGCGCAAGGGGGCAAGGGCGGCAAGCTTCAGCGGGTGCCGGAGCCTGCTGCTGCCAAACTTCCTGCGCGCCGCGACTGCCATGAGCATGGGGCACCCAGCGTCGCCAGAGGACCGCGCGCAGGGAGGGGGGCACTCTCGCAACAGCCGCGCCCGACAGCGACGACTGGGTGTGCCGACCGGCAACTGCGCCCCCCACCGCCCAGGCCGCGCGCCGTTGTGTCGCGCCTGCTGAAGGGGGACGCGTTTGGTGACCAGGGGCTGCTGGAGGGGCGCCTGCGCTGGACGGGCGCCGTGCCGGCGACGGCGAGCGCGACGGTGCTGGCAATTGACCGGGAGGTGCGGCGGGGCCGGGCAGGGACGTGCCACACGCACGCACGCACCGGCACAGGGAGTCGGACACCCCTGATCAGCAGGCGCCCCCCCCTTCGGCTTACGCATGTGTAGACTGGCCAAAGCGTGTGCCCTGTTGGTTGCCGCGTGTGCCCTGTTGGTCGCGTGACCGTGGACCCGGGCAATGCTGATGTCATCACCGCACGGCTGGTGCCCGTCATTCCACTGGCCCCAGGAATTTCTGGTATACCTGGGCGCGCACTTCAAGGGACTGCGGGAGGCCACCCGGGCGTTCCTGTCAAGCAAGGTGCAGTAGTTGCGGGTCGCCTTGGACGCCGCGAAGGCGGCATTACTCCCCGTGAGGCCGGGGCCGCTGGGGCGGGGGCCAGGAAGGGGTCTGGCTTTACTGCATGTAGGCGGTGGGCAACGGCTCACGGTCGAGCCATGCAAGCCATGCCGAAGCAACCTCGCTGAAACCCTCGTAGCTGCTGAGGCGGGTCAACCCGCATCAACCCCCAGGTGCGGGCCGTGCGCGAGGCGGGGGCGCCCCAGGCGGAGGTGCAGCGGCTGAGCGCCATCATGCTGCCGGGTACCGCCAAGGCGGGGCGCACGTGGGAGCTGGCGCAGGAGGACCAGGTGTACTTCGTCAAGGTGCGTTGCGTGGGCGGCCACACCCCACACGCACGGAATCATTCAACTGTAGGCCTCTGTGGTTTGCAGCAAATTTGAAAACCCTCTGGCCAGCAATTACGTACACACACATGCACGCATGCACACACACACACACGCACACACACCCACACACGCACGCACGCACGCACGCACGCATGCGCATGCGCGCACGTGCGCACGCAATGCTACAGGACGGCAGCTTTCAGTTGGAACTCATCGAACATGCGACCACTGCAGGCAGCGGCAGTGCAGCTGCTGGCTTGAAGAAGATTCCCTGGCGCAGCAACACACAGCAGCTGCAAGCGGCGACATATGCAGGCACCGCTGGTGGCGCAGACCTGGGCGGCCGGCCGCAATCCAGCCGCCCCTCCACTGCTCCTGCAGCGTCCTCTGGCGAACGGGGCGTCGCCCGTGTGTCTCGGCGAAATGCGCCAGGCGGCGGCAGCGGCAGCGGCGGCAACGCTGGAGGCGGCGAGAGCGAGAACCAGCAGCAACCTGAAGACGAGGGCGCGAGCACCGGCGGCTGGGGACGTGACAGCGGTGGTGCCAGGGGGCGGCGCGTGATGCCGCCTCTGGCGGACTGCGGGGTGCTGGCGTCGGTGCGGATGGCGGGCGGCGGGCGGGTGGTGGGGACACTAGGGATGGAGGAAGAGCTGCAGAGGGCGCGGCTCAGGGGCACTGTCAAAAAGGTGAGCAGGGGTGAGGTCCTGCGGCTGGCCCGGCTGCAACATTGCGGCCGCAAGAAGGCAACACGGCAGGCCGCTGCCACACTGGTGCTGGCTTCTGATTCCATTGATTACGCGTGCGGTCAGCATGGCCAGCAGCATCCAGTGCCCTGTTTGGCCCCTCCGCTGCAACGAGCACCGGCTTGGTACTGACCACACGCCTTGGGAAACCGTGACGCCGCACGCAGGTCGTCGCCCGGCTGGGGCCCGGCCACTGGTTTGGCGGCGGCGCAGCGTTGATTGGCGAGGGCCCCCTGCAGTCTGGGCTCCGGCTAGTGGCGACCTCTGACGCTGAGCTGTGGCACGTCCACGTCAATGTGTTCATGCAGCAGGCAGGCGATGCGATCATCAGGTGAACGGGGGGCACGCTGCGCGGTGCATGGGGAGGTGTACACCGAACAGCGCGCAGCGGGGGCTGTGCCGGCGGGCTGGCCGGCAGTGCACTCCACTGAGGGCTCGCGGCTTCGTTGCCAATGCTCCAAATGAACAGCTGCTGCAATATCCAGCCAGGGATTCCGTGGGTGCAACAGTCATTCACTGCATGGAAGAGACAGCGCCGCGCTCTATCTTGACTGCCCCCTCCCCACCCCCCCCCCCTTTTGCAACCAGGGCTCTGCGGGACGACGGCGCGTTCCGCCTGAGCTACAGCCTGGGCCGCCTGGGTCTGATCCCGCCAGACACAGTGGTCGGCCACCCCCTGGCCAATTTGCAGCGAGCCGGCCACGCACGACACAGCGCTCAGCCTCCACTGGCGGCGCCACAGAACCCTCTTTTGCAGGAGGGCCAGCCGCAGCGTGAGCAAGCAGGGCAGCCCCCGCCGCAACCGAGCAAAGGACAGCAGAGCCCTGGGCGGCGGAGCGGCAGCGCGGGGCGCGGCAGGGGCGAGGCCGTGGGAGCGGCGGCTACCCCCAGCCGCGTCGACGACGCAGTGCACGCCGCAAGGCTGCGACGGGCGGGCCTGAGGGGGACAGGGAAGCCGGGCGGCCTTCAAGCAGAGCATGGGAGCATCCTTGAAGGGCTGGGGTTGGGCGTCTGCGCAGCTCGCGGGCGAGAGGTGGCTGCCAGTGCAGCTGCAGCGGCGCGGCATGATGGCAGTCCTGCGGGCGGCACATCCGCACCAACAGGCCTCACAAACACCAGGCGGCGAGCTGTCACTATCCGCCCCCCACACGTTGCCGGCAGCGGGCAATTCAGCGAGGGGGTCATGGTGGCGCTGGCTCACTTGGGTGCTTTGCTGGGCCCACAACAACGGCGGGGCCCGCAAGCATCAGATCCAGGGCAGCAGCAGCAGCAGCAGCAGCAGCAGCAGCAGCAGCAGCAGCAGCAGCAGCAGCAGCAGCAGCAGCAGCAGCAGCAGCAGCAGCAGCCGGGCTGGTGCATAAGCACCAGCAGAGGAGCAGGGGCATCCACTGACACTGCACCGTGCCGGCAAGCCCCAGCACTGGCAGCCGAGCCAATGGGAGGAGGGTTGGCGGCGGGGCGCTCCGCCCAAGAGGAGCTGCGGGCCACTCACAGAGCGACGTCGGCCGCTGGGGTGCCCTGCAGGCCCTCCACTGCGCCAGCATCAGGGCGGACGGCGGCAGAGGTGTTCTGGCGTCAGCCTGACAGCTCGATGACGGCGACGGGGACTGCGGTGGCTGCCCTCATCCAGTCGGCCTTTCCAGGTAGGCTGGGCTTGCTGACCTGATTTAATTGTGGAGGTGCGGGGCGGTGGGTCTGGGGCATCTGGCACCGGCCGACCACAGCGCGGGCGCATCAGCAGGGTGTTACAATCACATGAAGGCAGCAGCGGACCTATGCAGCGCAGGGTCGGCCATGTGCCACACATCAGCAGGTGGTAGTCACCTGAATAGCCAGCTGAACATCGTACTACATACGAAAGCAAGACATTCCTAGTACCTATACTCCTTATCGCCATGCATAATTCCACCAACCATCAATATTGCAGAGGGACTGGCACCACTGGCGGAGCAGGTGGAGGGACTGACCCTTGCTCCTCACACATGGAGCCTCGACGCGCCAGCAGCAGCCGCCACGGCCGCCGACAGCTGGCGCTCCTCGCTTCCGCGCCCTGCCACGGCCGCAGCCTGCTCGCCCGCCACGCGACCACGACCTGGGGCCGCAGCCTGCGCTGTGGGGAATGCTGCCTCTGCAGCTCCTGCGGCAGGCGGCAGCACGGTCGGCGAGCCAGGCGGCGGGCGGCAGCACCAGCACCAGCAGCAGCAGCCGCGCCCGGCGTCAGCAGCTGGCGCAGCAATCGTCAACGAGCGCGCGGCAGCGGACGCCCGCAAGCGGCCGGCGTCTGCGTCGAGGATCAGCTTGCGGGAGCTGCGGTCCGGCAAGTTCCGAGGTTGCAGCGGCGCAGGCGGGCCCCACGCATACTTTGGATGGCCGAATGCAGCGGCTATCGTGGAGCTGCAGCACGGCGGTGAGGAGGGCGTGGACGCCGCTGCAGTGCCGGAGAGTTGGCGGCCCCGCGCTGCCGCAGCCGCTGCCGCTGCGGCAAGCTGGGATGTTGCGGCAGTTGAGGAGGGGGGAGGAGAGGATGCAGGTGTGGAGGCAGGGGATGCTTTTGTGCGGTTAAGGCCGGGGGGCAGCAGCAGCTCCGGAGGGTCTGAGCCGGATTGGGACGGGGTCCCTGCAGCTGTGGTCGGGCGGATCCGCGCGGGCGGTCTGCAGCAGCCAGCCTGTCCAAGCCGGCCGCTGTCAAGTGGAGCAGCCGGCGGCCAAAGGGCGCCCACGATCCTGCCGCGGGAGCCCCGCCGGCGCGCCGGCGGCAGCCTGACGGCGGCGTGCGTGCTGTGGGCCGGCGCGAGCGACGCGGCGTTCCGGCCGCCGCTGCGGCAGTGCCTGACTCATGAGGAGATCGTGCGGCTGGGCGGGGGGCGCGGCGCGTAGGCGGCCGTGGTGGATGGGATGGCTGCGCATGGGGTGTGCTGACAAACTGCACTCGGCGATACCTGAACGCTCTGCACGCCAAGTGTGCGAGACTCAGTCCTGAAGGGAGGGTCTGCAACCACCTGCGCGGCCGGCGACAGCTCCCTTAATGCACACCTGTCCCCTGCAGCACGCAGCCAGTAGCCGCTGTTACCTGATTTGCAAATCCTGTGCAAGTGCTCGCCGTCTGGAAGGCGCGCCGCTTGCCTGTTACCATCTTGGGCTTGTTGCTGCACAACCTCACAGGAACCCTAGCTCTTCTGTCGGGCATTGAAGTAACTACCATGGTTTCGCGTAGACAAGACGAATATTTGTGCTTGTTACATGCGTTTGCAGGCAGGCAGGACAGCGCCCCGCACAATGGCGCGGGCGACGCAGCATGCGGAGCCCCCACCCCCACACAAACGCCACTCCAAACTTGGGCAGCCGCCGCCGTGCCTCGCCGTGTTGCTAGCGTTGGGCGCGGCGCGTGCGGGACACGGCGCGGCGGTGCGCACTCTCTGCGCTCGCAGCCTAGGTTTCCACGCGCAGCCGCCAAGCAGCGGCCCGGGCCGCTGCCGCCCGCGGCTGTGCTTGGAAGGACATGCCCAGCAATTGGCTGCTTTTTTGGGGTGTGCACAGATGAAAAGCAACTCTTGTGTCCCCGCCTGCCGCACATGCGGCGCCCGTGCTGTCAACGTCGCAACCACGACCCGACATAGCAGCGCGCCGCACCGGAGGCAGGGGTCAGCGCGCCTCAGCCAGACGCACGGGGCTTGCCCCCACTCTCGTGGTGGCAGACGGGACATGAAACGCAAACGGCCGTGCACCGCCTCAAAAGGTAGCGGTGCAGCATGCAAAAGAGGCACCCAGGGGTGCCCTTCCGCTCCGCTCCTCTTCTCGTGTTGCCCACGCACACTCACAAGACCCGTTGAAACGAATGGTGAAAACCCGTGCACCAAGGAGTGCAGCACCTTCCAGCCCGAAGACACCAACACATCGCCCTTCTGAAAACCAGGATGTCCAGGATGTCCTGACACGGCCAGCAGTTAGACGGGGTCGGCTGCCACGTCGGCCTGCTAGGGCGTCAGTGCCTCGCAGAGGCGCCGCACCGCTCAGACAGCATCCCTGACAGCACCGAGACGGGTGACATCACGGTGACGTCGCCGGGGTCGCCGTGCGGCCGTCAGTGGCCCCCCGACCCCATGATGAAGGGCATGAGGCTGCCAGAGTACTTGAAGGTGTCAGCGGTCTCCTGCAAACCAGGGGTGATGAGGAGGGACAGCAGAGCATAGCAATTAAATGGTGGGTCTCCGAGATGACGGGATGGCCGTGATACGTACGAAGGCAACTTCGTAGGCAGACACAGAGCCGAGCAGGGCGAGGTCCAATGTGCGCCGGTTGGGTGGGCAGGCAGCAAGCAGCGGGGCGCGGCTTTGGGGGTATGCACGGTGATGGGGGAAGGGTGGGGGCGGCTTCTGCAACTGGTAGTCGGTGTGGGTGGTGCCGGCCGCACCTGCAGGCAGTGGTCCTTCTGCTCGCGCGTCCAGCTCTCAGACAGGGCGTTGATCTTGGAGCGCACCTGGGGATTGCATGTTTGAAGAGTTTGGGTGGGGATGCATGTGGGTTGTATAGTCGACAACAGAGAGAGAGGAGAGTGGGGGCTGGAAGGCTTTGAGGATCAGCCGACGAGAAAAGGAGATACACTAGCTGCGCCAGCCCGCAGCTTTGCGGGCTGCGCAACAGCGCAGCCACATAAAGCAAGGCCAGCAGCAACGCACAACAGACCGCCGCTTGGGCGCCTGTCCTCGGACTCCCTCAAAGCCATTGCAATTCCATGCCCCGCAGGCCAACCGGAGCCTGCGTGGGAGCGGCCCATCAGCTGCAGCAACCCCTGGCTGCGCGGCCCGGACGACTCACCGCGTCCAGCAGGGGCGCCACGTCCCCGTCATACTTGTAGAACTCAAGCTCAGCGTTGTCCAGGATCATGGACGACACCTGGTCACGAGCGGGAGTGTGTGTGTGTGTGTATGTGTGTGCGTGTGTGTGTGTGTGTGTGTGTAAGAAAGAGATAATGTGTGTGTGTGCACGTACATGCACGCACGCACGCGCTTGCGAACATGCATGTACGTGCAAGCATTCGCGCGCAGGGGCATGCAACAAGAGCACAACTACCCAGCGCACGGCGCTGCACCAGCATGCGTCACGCCCACCTTGGACCCGATCATGCGGCCGCCGGCTGTGTGTGCGAAGAAGTAATTGTAGTAGTGGCAGATGAAGGCGGGCGGGTCAGACACCGCGAGGCCGTAAAGCTTCTGGGCATAGGCCAGGCCAGGGCTGTCGGCGGGCAGCTGAGAGGGTGGGGCATGAAAGGGTGGAGTAGGGCAGGGCGGTGGGGTGGGAAGGGTGTGACGGACCCTGCCGCACGCACAGCCGCCCATGCACACACACTTGTTGATGTGTCTATTGTGCTGCTGCTTGTGCGAGTGATCATGCTCTCAATAAAATGCTGCACCCATGTGCGCGCACGTACGCACACCCGCATAGACGCACGAAATACACACGAGCACGCACGCACACACACACACACTCCGCACATGCGCCGCAACGCGCCAACGTGCGCATGCGCGCACGCCCCCACAGCGCACCCCCTCCAACCTGCGGGGCTGAGATGCCGTAGGTCTCCTGGAACCACGCCAGGTCCTTGTCTATCGCCGCCACACGCTCCAGCCCGGTGCCCTGGAACTGCTCATCTGCAGGCGGCAAGGGCAGCGCGCAAGGGGCCCGCGGCACAGGCGTCAGTGAGGGAGTGAAAAAGAGGGGGCAGCACTGACAGGCGGGGTCATGCGCAGCACTGACAGGCAGTGGGCACTGCCTGCATGTCAGCGCCCCCGCACAGAAGCCCAGGGTCCGCCCCAGCCCAGCAGCTGCCGAGCTGCTGCCCAGCGGGCGCCCTGCCGCCGCATAGCGTGCCCATGTGGCTCACATTCCGGGCGCTCCGCCTTGCTGATGATGTCCTCAAAGGCTGAGTACACCGCGCGGCTCTCAGCCAGGAAGCGCACGTAGCCCTCGCGGGTCGGCTGCCACTGAGAGACGTGAACGGCAGCGGCGCGGCGAGGGGGAACCGGATGGGGGCGGGTGAGGGGCTGGGGCACATGCTGAGTGCTTTACGTTTCCTATGTCTATGGGCAGTTGAGGGGGTGAGGCTTCATTTCAAAAAGGGGCTGTCGTCGAGATCATCGCATTCAAGGGGCCTGCTGCTGCGGGTAGCTGCAGCGCTGACGCCCTGTTCTGCGCGGCACCCCTGCAGCTGCAGAGGCCAAGTGCAGGCCATCCAGGGCGGCGCCGGAGCAAAGCTGGCTGCCAATTAAATCGTTGCTCGGGCTCCAGCATCAGCAGGGCCGCAAACCTCGCGCCGCGACAGCTGGCAGCGCAACCCACCGTGGGCATCGGCCGCGGCGACGCCTTCTGGCCGCCCTCCTTGGGCGCCTGATCCCGCGTGTGAAGCTTCATGGCAACTGCCCGCATCTCCCCGATGAAGCCCTGCTTCTTCAGCTCCGTGGCGCTGACCGCTCCGTGCGCCCGCACACGCAGCGCGGTGCGGCGGGGGGCGGCGCGCGCTGCCGCTGGCCGCGCTTGCGCGGTGCCCTACGTGGTGCGTTGCGCCATTGTCCGAGCAAGCATTGTGAAAGCGTGTGAAGACGCGTTTTTCACGAAGGCCGTTGTTCTTGCGGCCGCGCTTCCGAGGGCGGGTCCATGGGAGGCAAAACAGTGCAATCACCAGATCCAGAGGCTTGCACCCGCGCTGGCTCTACCGTGAACAGGGCTCCCTGTAAGACCATGGAGCGCGCATGCACACGCTTCCCACCTGCAGGCTCCGCATCATGGATCGCTTGGACGCGAGCATGCCTGCTCCTAGCTGCTCCTGTTGGCGGGAAGCCTGCTTGCTTTCTCGCCGTGCGTGCGTGAGAATCAGCTATTATGACACAATGCCTGGATGGCTGTGCGCCTCGTGAGGTTGCATGCGACCCGCCGATCGTCGGCGTTGCCCGCTCTTCCAACTCCTGTGTGCTCTGCTGCTATTGCAGGTGCGTTGGTCAGCGCCAGTCGGTCGCAGTGATCAGCACCGTTTGCATCAAACTGGCTGATCTTGCCAAAGTCATTACTTGCATAGGCCCACCAGCGAGTATCGGGCCCACAGTGGGGCTGAGGGGCCGCACCACCATTGACGTTGACCAGGCAAGCGCTTGGGCCAACAGGGGTCAGCCGAACCAGGCCCCCCACCACAACGAAACTTGACTGCGCCTGTCGCTAGAGCTTGTAGCTCGTTTTGGACGTAACACCTGAGACTTCCTTACATCAGTTGACGTGTGACAGGCGCAAAACGCCCGTCAGCAACGCGGGAGGTGTTGGCGGAGGCGCCATGCTGGCCAGCTCAGCGGCGGCCTCGCGACTGCACGCTACCAGTGACATGCCAAGCTATTTGTCAAGGGTGAGGGTACGATTAACACAAACACAATCACTTGAAACCAGCTCACTTGAATTCTGCATTTGGTCCAAATAAGCTCTAAAGAACTACAGCTCGCCAGTGGTCAAACACACACGTTTGATGACTATCATGACAGCATCACTGCGACAAATGTCCATCAGGAGCCGATGCAGCCGGCAGCTGCAGCGACGCCCCGGACGGGCTAGCCAATCACGCCGAAGCCCTCCCAGCAAATGCACTGCAGCACCACACGGCTCGCCCCAACGGGCAGGAATTCCGCTCGCGCCTGAACGCCCACCATCCCTGCGTGGGACAGCAGCGAACGCCGAAGCAAGCGGCCCTCCCACCCGCACAGCCGCCGCACAGGGTGCGCAGGCAGCGTGCACTGCGTCGTCCACGGGCGGTTGCCGGGAGTCCCCTCACATCCGCTCCCCGCTTTTCTTCAGCCGCCGCCCCGCCGGCTGCGCCGCGCACCGGTCACTGCTGTGGCGGCGCCGTCTGCAGCGCGCGCGGCGCGGCGCCCCCCTGGCCGCCGCCTCCCTGGCTGCCGCCAGCGCCAGGGGGGTCCTTGGGGCGCAGCGCCTCTATCTCGGGGGTGGTCGGCACCAGGACAGGCGCGCCCGGCGCGTGGCCGCGGCCGCGGGGCGGCTCTCTGTAGGGGGTGCCGTCGGCTTCGCGGAAGAAGCCCTTGTAGGTGGCCGCCCTGCCGCGGCGGTGGAACGCAAGGAATCGTGGTGATGACGCGTGTCTTGGGCGGCTGTCGCGTAGAGGGACCACTGCGTGCATGCGGGGCCTACGTAACGTCTCCTCTCTGAAAACAAAGCCGACGAAGACGCCCATTTCTACCCAACAGCCCCACACCCTCAACAACTTTCGGCCACCCCACGAACCTGAGAGGACCCCTAGCCTTATCGAAAGGAAGTTCTGGTGAAAGCAGTCAACACATGACCCTAGCAGGCCGTGCCCTTGTGCGCTAGACCCCAGGCCCATCAATACATACATCCTATAAATGCTGTCCTTCAAAACATAATTTGTCAGCCCAACCTGAAGTTTGAGTTTGTGATGGCCTTGCCGATTGTCACCCAGCCGTCACGCACGTTGTGGTCCACGCCAAACAGCTCCAGCCGCCGCCTGGAGCATGGCACAGGGAGAGGGAGGGGGGTCAGCAGGGGTGGCGCACGGGCGTGTGGGCCCAGCGGGGCGAGCGGTTGGGGCAACGGAGTGCGAGCGGGGTGTGTGGGCATAGAGGTCGTGGCGGCCAGCCGCCGCCGGCCGGGCGGCAGGCGCCCTGACGCGCCAAGCCTTGCGGATGGGTCGCCCGCAGGCGACGGGGAGCGGGCGGGGGCTCCCCTCACGGCAAGGCCGGCCCCACGCGGCCGCCTCGCCGGGGCGCCCCGCCGCGCGCGCTCCTGCAACAAATACCACGTCCCGCGCAGCAGCGACGGCGTGGAAGCGGGAAGGGACCAAGTGGACCGGCCTGTTTTCTTGGCTTGCTCGCCTGCCGTTCCAGAAGCGCTCTATGATGCCGTACAGCTCGGCCGGCTTCTCAGTGCTGCCTAGCGGCGGCTCCTCGCTGACTAGGACGTCAATGTCCAGGTTGGAGTGCAGCAGGTGGGCGTCGCGGTTGCGGTCGGGGGCGCCGCGGACGCCCACCAGGCAGTGCTCCTGTTTGCGTTTGTTTTGGGGGGGGAGGGGGGCGTGTGGTGCTGTCGTGTCAGGCAGGCCTGTTGCTGGTGGTTGATTTGGGGACGTGTGCGGGGTCGTGGCGCTATGGGTGGGGGTAGCGCATGTCAGGAACTACTCTGATAGGTCGAAGTTCAAAGGGGGTCAAAGGGTGCGGCCGCACGAGCGCGTGGGCGCATTCACCGCTGCCGTGAGCGCGCGAACGCTGCGGTGTGTCGGCAGCATTGAGTGTGTGCGTGGTTGCCTGGGTGCGTGCATGCATGTGGGCTGGCGTGTAAGTGTGTGCATGTGCGTGCAAGCTTGTGCATGTGCATGTGCCAAGAGTACAGGGTGCATGTCGTGCTGGGGGGGTTGGTGCACGTAATGAACAGCACATGACAAGGAGGCGCATGGGCTCGGCTGTCATCAGAAACCAGTGACGCTGTCCCGATGATGCCTGCGGCCCAGCAGCCCCCTCGATCCCCCACGCACCCCATCATGTGCGTGGTCCCCCCCCTCCAAACCCCACCGTGGTGTGCACGAGGACGCTCTTGCGCCACTGATTCAACTCTGACTGGTACCTGCGGCCCCCCTCAGCGTTGGTCTTCAGCCACACCTGGCCATCAGATAACGCATGATTGCGTGCGTGTGTTTGTGTATGTGTGCATGTGTGTGAGTGCGTGCGTTTTTGTGCATGTGTGTGTGTGTGTGTGTATGTGTGCGCGCGCGTGTGTGCGTGCCTGTTTCTAGGCTTTGGTGATCAAACAGCACGACATTGGTCTGAAAGCAGGGCCGTCCATTCAATCCCACTGGCAGGTACTGAGGCAGACTGATACGTGCACAGCTGGCGCCATTTCAATGCAGTAGGGCCGACCCATTCGTCCCCCTGTTGCGGTATCTGCTGCTGCTGCTGGTGGTGCTGCTGCTGCTGCTGCCGGTGCGGCTGCTGCTGCTGCTGCTGCTGCTGCTGCTGCTGCTGCCGCAGCTGGTGCTTCCGGGCTGCTGCGCAAGCGCCGCCCCTCACCACGTCCTCCATGCGGCGGAAGCCCCAGGCCTGCAGGCACCTGCGCCCCTTCTCCAGGCCGTCCTCACAGCCACACCACCTGGGGTGACGCAGGGTGTGCGTGTGTGTGTGGGGGGGGG